TATATATGTATATAAACACATTTATAATATTTTGAGTTATCTAGCAACCCTCTAAACAGCAGTCCTCTAAGGGTGCTTGAGGCTTCTGGGGGCATCGAAATGAAAACGTAAATCGGTTTCGAGTCTATGTTTTACCATAAGACCTTCGGTAATAGCTTATTTCGTATATGGGAAGCTCGCTAAAAGGGGATGGATTAAGTTTTACCATTGACATATATAGTCAATGGTTTTACACAATAACATAATAATATAGGTTACTACGCAAATTTGAATAATCTTTCACTGTGTTTTCCATTCAAATCTATTAAGGCTAATTTCAAATTGATATGTATTTTTCTTAGGTAGTTATTTAAGTTTTTTTTTACATTTACTAAAAATCAAAACAATTGTAATTGTATAAAACCATACATTACATATTAAAATGAAGTACTTAAACTAAAGCTATTTTTTTACAATTTCCGTAGTATCTCTCTTTACAATTCCATCATCACAATAATTATTCTCAGACAACTCATTAACAATTTTATTATTCTTAGCAACTTGTCCATCTTTACTGATTTTGTGCATGTTGGTGATCAAGCAGGGTTCCCCTTTACAAACCTTGTATATTGCAGAACAGGCAACACCAATCTTAAAGCACGAACAATGTGGTGCAAAAACACCTATCATACATACTGACGTTTGCAGCTTGTATCTTAATTTCCCCAAAATTATTTTCAATCAATACAAGTATCTTTCGTGGTTATGACGACTAGGACAGCACTAAGACATCAGAGCAGCATTGTCGGTACAAGCATTTTTGTTCTGAACAATGGGAACGAGGTTTATGGGGTAAAAGTTGGGTTTTCTGATTTACTTCACCCTCAAAACACAAAGTTTCCCAATTTTTCTCTAGAACATTTTAAATAGCTTAAAAACAATTAATTTAGTATTTTAACGTGTTTTTGTATGGTTATTAGTTACGGATAAAAATACTAAATTTGTAAATTAAAAATTCCCATGTGTTCTTATGTAGAATAGTGTAAAATTATTTTGTTTGTTTGTTAATAGATCTTGATCAAACTTGTCAAATTTTTTGTTTTATACTAGGCTATTAATATTTTACTATAAACGCACTTTATTAGCCTTGTAGCAGCAAACCTAGGTAATCGTTAAACGCAATGCTATTTTAGATTTAACTGAAAATCAAGTAAGTTAAACGGAAATTTGCTAGGTCTGCAGGTTTGCTGTGACGGGGGTATTTAATATTTTCTCTTACTCATTGTGATCCTTTCCCCTTACGTAGTAAAGAATTACAATTATTTTCAATAATCCCCTTTTATATAGAGCATAGAAGTAAATAATTTTATTACTTTATGAATAAATGTTTAAATATCGTAAAAAGTAATAATATTTCTAAACACCCTGTATGGAGTGGTTTAATACACTTAAAACTAGTCCCAATCGATTTAAACTAACTAAAACCATCGAAAATCACACCTCACTCGACCTTAAACGTAAAAAGAAAATTATTCAGGAACAAGGGCCCTTCGGATCAAAAAAGGCCCCAAAAAGGGCCTTAGGACACCCAAAATTTTGGGGACTCATCGGATCTTCATTTCTCGTATTATTAGTAACTCACAGGTGAAATTTCATGAATGTACAAATTTTGTTGTTTATAAAACCCTATTTTACCTGTACTATAAGTGTACTATATGTGGAAAATTCTTTACAACCAGTAGCAAAATGAAGAATCATACATTAGTACACACCGGAGAGAGACCTCATAAGTGCACTATATGTGGAAAATCCTTCCAAACTAGTGACATTTTGAAGAGACATACATTAGTACACACCGGAGAGAGACCTCATAAGTGCACTATATGTGGAAAATCCTTCCAAACCAGTGGCCATATGAAGAAACATACATTAGTGCACACCGGAGAGAGACCTCATAAGTGTACTATATGTGGAAAGTCCTTCCAAACCAGTAGCGATATGAAGAAACATACATTAATTCACATAGGAGCAATACATGTGGAAAATCATTTACAATCAAAAATATTTGTGAAGAAACATACATCAATTCACACCCAAGAATTTAAGCAGGGGGAGTTTCGATGATGAAAAACATTTAAATAAACGGTATCAGCATTCTGACACGTACTTTCTCCCATAAGTTTGTCAAAAACCTTTTTCATATGTAAGTGCTGAGAGTAAATATACGCAAATGGGATTTGTATAATTTTGTTCACAATTTAAAGGACTATAACATGCTAAATTTTTATCAAAATCGTTTGGGCCATTTTTGTGAAAATCCGATTTTTCTGTTATTTTATGGGGAAATGACATAATTTACAATAACTTTTGAACCGTAATTTTTACAGATATGGGATTTGTACCATTTTATTCAGAATTTAAAGGGCTACAACATATTAAATTTTTATCAAAATCGTTCGGGCCATTTTCGAGAAAATCTGATTTTTCCGGTTTTTTGTGGGTTTTTATGGGAAAATCCCCATTAAAAATAAAAATTTCAAAAAAATGAAAAAAATGCCTAGAGATACCATGGATTAGAACCTACATACCAAATTTCATCGAAATCGGACCACAGGTGTGGTCTCTAGCTCTGTACACATCCAGACACACAGACACACACACACACACACACAGACATCACTTCGAAAACCACTTTTTTGGGTCCAGGGGGACCCAAAACGAATATATCCACTCAAAACTCAAACTCGAAAATTTTGACGAAAACAATACTTTCTCCATATACTATGGTATAGGGGGAGAAAGTAAAAACACACAGTAAAGCATATATGTCATCTACAGAGCTGAAAATTATGTCATATTGTTCATAAATTATGGCTGTAAGTGCATGAGGAGCCTTGTTGCGGCTTACAAGCGAACTACGGATGGGTACGCATAAACAGTCCTTACTTAAATAACTGCCCTTGTAATAGGCTCCCATGTCAGATATTCTTTGTTTAATTTTAGAAAAAATATCAGGCAAGTCCACTTTGATTCACGTAGGTTTAAATCATTTTCTTAAATTCTTCTATTACACGTCCCAATATGTCACGGCCACCAAACAATTTTTTTCTGCCACTTTCAGGTTAATGGCATCCTTTAAGATCCATCAGAGTTTGGACATAGATTAAACATACTCCCTTAGTAGATTCTCCGCCGGATAGGGCTCGGTATGTTGGAGCTGCTTGTACGGCAAAGTTGCTGGCCCACGTAGTTCTGTACAGTCACTGGTCAGGCTAGGAGCGCTAGAGGTCTCGCCGTACAACCACACACACAAACACACTCTTACCGCGTTATAGCTGTCACACGCACGTCCGCACACCCCGCGGGCCAGCGTGCTCGTTGGCGCCAGCACACACCCTGGCACACACACGACACTCACACCCAGCTTGACTCCCTACAGCGTGATTTGTACGTATAGAGCCACGGAGCCTCCCCTAACTGTATTTCAGTATTTGTATCATCAGTTGTTTTATTGCGATTGTTCTAGTTTAATTAATGTGATGTTGATAATTAATTGTTTTTTTTTATTTGAATAGCCATCTATTGTATCTGTTACTTGTGGGTATTTTGAACCGACTTCCGCACTACCAACAAAAAAATAAGGTTCTCAATTCGTTTGTGCCAATGTATCTTTTTCTATATATGTTCCCCAATTTCTCTGAGATTTTTATACCGATCAGCCATGGTTCCACCCCCAAAATAACCAGGAGGGTTACCCTTTGGTACCATATATATAACATTATGTATAAGTGTAAAGTGCTTTAGTAGCTTTAGTAGCTTAGTAGAAAGATATTTGTCAAACTAAGAGTTTAAGTTGAGTTATGTTCCTGAAACCAAAGGGGAATGTGTAACTATTTTATAGAATGGAATGCAAGAAAATTTTTTTTGTTCAGTGCCCTCTCCGTTGCGAAGCACGGGTACAACAGCTAGTTGAAAATAAATATCACCAATGAAAAGCTTGTTAAAAATGTATGCTATTTCATATATTATACATTTCTGTATGATTAAAGATAATGTAAAAATCTTAATAAACAAATTGTATTGTAAATATAATCTTATTGAATGAATATTAGTCTATGGCCTGTATTACAAATGTTAACCTTAAAGCTTCTCCAGTTCGTTGACAAACGTTAATGATGTTAGGCTTTCGTTTATATATAAAAATATGCAGAGCCCTCCCACCACCTATGAACACCAGCCGCTACTGCATCTATCAGTCTATCACTGGATTACTCTCGCTACATAACACAACACATTTACTCTGCTTTTTGACACTTGTCACTGATGGTTTCTGCCACTGATATGGTTGTCACTGATATTGCACTCCGGACATGTTGGAGTAATGTTTGTTTCCTTAACCTGAAGAGGATATGGAATGGAAGACTTTGTGACCTTGAAGCAACATACATTGGTTTATACAGAAGAGCGACCCCATAAGTGCACTTCATGTGGAAGCAGGACAGGGCTCCTCCTTATTGGCTCTCGCTCTGCAATGCCCATGTTTTTAAATGACAAACTTCCTGATGGTTGGATTGGCCGCTGGTAGAGTTGGTAAACATAACCTGTTCTACTGTTGTCACTGTAATGTGAATACTTTCCCACAAATTGGAGAGGTTTGAGCTAATAGCTGGATGTATGCCCTGTGATTCACATAGCCCCAGAGAAAGAAATTGCGAAAAAATCCAGCAAGCAGGTTGACCATTCATGTATCGTCAGTTGAATGAAGTATTTTAAAACCCAATAAATACTTTTTGGACACCCAGACCATACCTATTGAGATAAAAGTTATATTATCTGCAATTACATTTATAATTTTAATTTTGCATTATAATTATGCTATGGATTTACTATAAATTTTAGTGTTGATTTAAAATTATTATTTAAATAAATTATAAAATTTTTGTTTAGACTAAATGAACAAACATACTATCCAAATGATTACAACAAATGTTTATATTTAATAAAATATGATCTTTTTTCAGAAGCGGCAATAGATTTGAAGAAAAAAAGAAACTTCAATAATTCATGTAGCAAAAAAAAAACTGAATCTACAAAGTATTATAGATACTTATAACAACAGTTAAAAAGATTAAGTTTTTACTACACTAAAAGTACAAATGAAAGTAAGTAATTTACTATTTAAAACTTGACTTTTAATTTATGGCTGATGCAATATTATTTGAAAACAACATGAAAAAATAGAAATCACTTTTTCTTAAAATAAGACACCTAATTTAATATGATTGAATATAAAAGTCAAGAAAAATGCCTCAAGTAGGCTGTGTTGTATTGTATTTAATGAACATAACAATATTTGATCAAAAAGTTGATCAAATTTGATTGTGACACATAACTGTTAAACACCAAATCCTAAAAAATAGACATACAAAGCCAACTGACTAATTACAATTAGTATGTAGCTTGTCTAATAAGTTATAAGTTGGAAATTGAAAACAAAAAAATGTTAAAGGTCACTAAAAAGCCTCGCCTTAAGTGTCCAATATGTAGAAAACTGATTTCAACTCTATCAAATATGAAGCCTCATATATACTTACACACCGGCGAGCGTCCCTTTAGATGTTTAACTTGTGAGAAAATATTTATTAATCTACATCATGTTAAGACTCATTTGTTAATTCATTCTGATAAGCGTCCTTATAAGTGTACTATATGTGGAAAATCCTTCACAAGCAGTGGCAGTATGAAGAAACATACATTAGTACACACTGGAGAGAGACCTCATAAGTGTACTATATGTGGAAAATCCTTCACAAGAAGTGGCAGCATGAAGAATCATACATTAGTACACACCGGAGAGAGACCTCATAAGTGCACTATATGTGGAAAATCCTTCACAACCAGTGACTATATGAAGAAACATACATTAGTGCACACTGGAGAGATACCTCATAAGTGTACTATATGTGGAAAATTCTTTACAACCAGTAGCAAAATGAAGAATCATACATTAGTACACACCGGAGAGAGACCTCATGAGTGCACTATATGTGGAAAATCCTTCCAAACCAGTGTCGTTTTGAAGAGACATACATTAGTACACACCGGAGAGAGACCTCATAAGTGCACTATATGTGGAAAATCCTTCCAAACCAGTGGCAATATGAAGAAACATACATTAGTGCACACCGGAGAGAGACCTCATAAGTGTACTATATGTGGAAAATACTTCCAAACCAGTAGCGATATGAAGAAACATACATTAGTGCACACCGGAGAGAGACCTCATAAGTGCACTATATGTGGAAAATCCTTCCAAACCAGTAGCGGTATGAAGAAACATACATTAGTACACACCGGAGAGAGACCTCATAAGTGTACTATATGTGGAAAATCCTTCCAAACCAGTGGCGATATGAAGAAACATACATTAGTGCACACCGAAGAGAGACCTCATAAGTGTACTATATGTGGAAAATCCTTCAAAACCAGTGGCCATATGAAGAAACATAGATTTGTACACACCGGAGAGAGACCTCATAAGTGCACTATATGCGGAAAATCCTTCCAAACCAGTAGCGATATGAAGAGACATACATTAATTCACATAGGAGCAATACATGTGGAAAATCATTTGCAACCAAAAATATTTGTGAAGAAACATACATCAATTCACACCCAAGATTTTAAGCAGGGGGAGTTTCGATGATGAAAAACATTTAAAAAACGCACAGTAAAGCATATATGTCATCTACAGAGCTGAAAGTTATGTCATATTGTTCATAAATTATGGCTGTAAGTGCCTGAGGAGCCTTGTTGCGGGTTACAAGCGAACTACGGATGCATACGCATAAACAGTCCTTACTTAAAAAACAGCCCTTGTAATAGGCTACCATGTCAGATATTCCTTGTTTACTTTTAGAAAAAATATCAGGCAAGTCCACTTTGATTCACGTAGGTTTGAATCATTTTCTTAAATTCTTCCATTACACGTCCCAATATGTCACGGCCACCAAACAATTTTTTTCTGCCACATTCAGGTTAATGGCATCCTTTAAGATCCATCAGAGTTCGGGCATAGATGAAACCCTTAGTAGATTCTCCGCCGGATAGGGCTCGGTATGTTCGAGCTGCTTGTACGGCGAAGTTGCTGGCCCACGTAGTTCTGTACGGTCAGGCTAGGAGCGCTAGAGGTCTCGCCGTACAACCACAAAGTCAAAGTCAAAGTCATCTTTATTGTCACAAAACGTTTTTTTTATGCTCTGGCACAGCCAGACAAAACAGGTGACATTGTCAAACTATACTAAAATAAACTAGCTTATATTGGTAAAAATAAATTCATAGTAGGTAACAAAATAGGGATGGACGAGATTGGATTTTTAGTTCGAGACGAGACGAGACGAGATTTTTTTATTTCTCATAAAATTTCGAGACGAGATCGAGACGGGATTTCCCTTCTCATACACAACGGGAAATGCACGTTCAAAATTTTTACCTGATTTTGTAACATTGTTAGATAACTGTTTAAATACAAAAATAATGATAATAGGCAAGAATATTTACAATATTTTATTAAAAAACATCAGCATAACATTTTTTTATTAATCACGCCTAACTTATTAAAAATGCCTACGATTAGGAAACATAGTGATAACAGTTAGGATAGAGTTCAACTTATCCTACAATAAAATAAATCATAAAATAAAAGCAATATTAATTTTTATAAAATAGTTACTTGTTTTGACTTTTTATAGTAATAAAACATTCCTCACACTGCTTACACTTAACAAAACTTCTCAAATGTTATTAAAGTAATATTATTAAAATAATTAAAGTAATATTTACATTTAAAGAATTAATTAAATAAGAACGCCTTCGCCAAGGAAACGCAACTACAACACGCTCCTGTATTGCGGGTATTGCATTGAATTTCTGCAGGCGTTTGTAATTTTTTTTTTTTTTTTTTATTCTTGTCTCGATAAAAATCTCGGCCAAAAAGAAATCTCGCCTCGTGTAACGAGATTTAAAATTTCCCGAAAATTTCCCGAAATTTCGAGACTTGACCATCCCTATAACAAAACAAACAATTCACATTGATTTATCTTCAAGAAACTGACCAATACTATAATAATTCTTTTCCAATAAAAATTCAAAAATTTTTTCTTTAAAATATACTAATCCTATTATAGATTTGTAGTACCCAGGCAAATTGTTAAAAAATCTTTTACCCATATAAGAAGGTGTCCTTTCCACAAAATTTAATCTGTGTATAGGATATTGAAAATCTGTATGAAATCTAGTGTTATAATTGTGCCGATTATTTTCACTGTGGAGTTTTTCAAAATTTGATTTCACATACAATAAACATTTAAGAATATACAAATTAGGGACGGTTAGAATCTTTAGTTCTTTAAAAAGTTGTTTGCAAGAATGTTTTACGGGTTTAAAAGTCATAATTCTAAGTATTCTTTTTTGAAGTTTAAAAAGTTGATACGAATCAGATGTGACGCCCCAAAGCTCTATTCCATACTGTAAAATTGACGAAAATAAAGCGTGATAAATCATTAGTCTAGTGTTTAAATCAACAACATTTCTTAAGACCAACATTTGAAAACATACTGAATTTAACTTTTTAGAGGTGTTATGAATGTGATTCTTCCAATTCAATAAACTATCTACATCAATTTCTAAAAATTTAGCTGTGTTGCTAAGATTTATTTTTTCATTATAAAAATAAACAAAGCCTTCAAGATCGTCCCTACACTGTGCAGTTTGAAATTTTACTATTTGTGTTTTAATGTGGTTCATTTGTAAACCGTTTACTTTAAACCATTTTGACAGATCTTGAAGAGCTTGATTCAAGGCTAAACTTAGTTCATGACTGTCTTTTGATTTAATGATGGCTGTCGTTTCGTCAGCATATAACAACAAGCTAGGTTTAACATTCTTAGGTAGATCATTTATGTACATCAAAAACAATAACGGTCCTAATATAGAGCCCTGAGGCACCCCCATAACAATCTTTTCCCATTCAGAAGCATACTTAATGTTTTCTTTAATAATAACTGTTCTTTGAAAGCGATCGTTTAAATATGATTTCAACCACAAAATAACTGATTCTGAGAATCTATAGGAGGATAATTTATCAAGAAGAATTTGATGGTGTACACACACACAAACACACTCTTACCGCGTTATAGCTGTCACACGCCACCCCGCGGGCCAGCGTGCTCGTTGGCGCCAGCACACACACGACACTCACACCCAGCTTGACTCCCTACAGCGTGATTTGTACGTGTAGAGCCTCGGAGCCTCGCCTAACTGTATTTCAGTATTTGTATCATTAGTTGTTTTATTGTGATTGTACTAGTTTAATTAATGTGATGTTGATAATTAATTGTTTTTTTATTTGAATAGCCATCTATTGTATTCGTTACTTGTGGGTATTTTGAACCGACTTCCCCAACAAAAGAATAAGGTTCTCAATTCGTTTGTGCCAATGTATCTTTTTCTATAAATGTTCCCCAATTTCTCTGAGATTTTTATACCGATCATCGTGGTTCCACCCCCAAAATAACCAGGAGGGCTACCCTTTAGTACCATATATTACATTATGTTTAAGTGTAAATATTTGTTCCAGAGAAAAATGCTGAAAACCTCAAATATATAACATTTATTTTGTTTATATTTGTACAGAGAAAGCAATAAATAAGAATGATATTCCGACAACTGTTAGTTGAAACCATGAAGCTACAGACAGATCTTCATGAAAAAGTTGTTTAATATGGATTATTAAACCATGTCTTGCCATGGAGCCTAAATAACTGACTTTGCATTTACTAGGCGTTTTGTTTTAGTTACTATGAGTAAGATATTTCAACGTTTGACCTGCATTTTGTAAAGTTCCGTTTTGAGTATTGAAATTGTATTCTATATTTTATCAACACTATAAAATAAACATCTTAAAAAGAAAATTATAGTATATCAATGGAAAAATTATTACAATCGAACAATACACTTATTTCCTATTGATTTTTAAGACATAAAACTTTTAGGCTACGTCGGTTTACAAAAAGCATTTTTAGATGCAAAAGGTTTCATTTCTTGCAATTCCAATTCATCACCTGTTTTACCAAAACATAAAAAATATTAATTTTTATAACCATAAATTATGTAACCTGAACAGGTGACTCAGGCAGTTTTAAAATAATAATTGTTCCGTACGGTAACGTTTTTGATCGGTCCAAACAATTTTTCTTTTAAAAAGCCTTTAAGTACCGGTAATAAATATGTATCAAATTTCTTTGTAAAAAAAACAACCGATTTCAAACGCTCTAAAAGAATTAAAATCAATAAAACATAGCAGGATATAAATATATAAAAAAACATATGCACTGTTTTGTTTGGATACCAAGGAAGTATTTACTTGTATTTTATATTTACTTCTGAATTAATGCATTATGCAACTATCACACACAAATTTTCTATTAGAATAAGAAACAGATTGTTATGATAGGGAAAAGAAGCTAGTTCAATATTAAAATGTTACTTTTGCAAATTAAAAACATTTAAATGCATTATCATTGTTTAAAACATACTTGTTATACCACTATAAAATTATAATTTATTATCTTATTTAAAAAAAAAACTGTATAAAGTTATCTGCCAATGATGGGTTACAATGATAAAATAACTCCGAACGCAAAACTCTGAAAAAATGAAGATTAACACCTTTAGTTATAGATAATCGCCAGCAATGTGGACATCCTCTTTAAATTTTCAGTATGTTATGTCAAAAATCATCATAGAGCCCGACTTCAAATACGTGAGCTTGAATATTACAAAAGGATCATTTAATTATTTTTAGAGTGTTTAAAGTAGCTTGATATTTTTTTACAAAGATATATTATTAGAAGTTTACAACTGTTAGTTAAGAAATAGATTATTGTGATCTGTATAGGCCTATACAAAATTATTAGGTTTTCTCTTAGTTATACGAGTCGGCTCGGCTCTTTCACAGACCAATATTCATAATTTTGGTATAAAATTAAAGTCATAGGCCTACACGCACAGATTTGCCATCAAGCAACGGCATTCGTTTATCTGGCGTATAATTCGACTTATACACCAACAAAACTTCCTCCATGAACATTTCTTATGGGAGTTTAATTTAGTATTTCTTTTCCAATTTTCTTCTCCATGCAGGATCTCAAGAAAGTCCGTACTCTCAGTGGTTATGAAATAGTGCTCAAAAAGCGATTGTAAGCTGTGATGTGTCATGCATGGAATCAGAGAGGGAGATTAGTTATCCTATTCCGCGCCACAAATACACAATAACCATACAATCATACAATACCCTGCAGCCCACCATGTAAAAAAAATCTTGAACCTTTATAATATCAAACTACTCTTACATGTTAATAATATCATAACCAAACTCAAACAATACACTATTTCTATGTAAAAACGTTGTTAACGAAAGAAAACATCGAGTGTAAATGCACGTCTTAATAATGGCGGTAGCTTCCGATGCAACATCACATGGTGGCGGGGTTGGAAGGGCAGCATCAGGCGGCACATGTTCACCTCAAAGGACTGGTCTAGCCCAAAGCCACACTCTATAGTGTGGCCTTGGGGGTCACACAGGCGATTTTGAGTCTAGCAACAGTTGCCCAATTTATTAAGGGGGACTGTTGCTCAACTCACTATAAGACTCTGAAGTCTAGTGACAGTTGCGCTAAAGTGTGCACACAGGCAACTGTTTTAAGACATTTAAATGATACAACAAAACAATAGTATGTACTCTGTTATTGAAGTTTTGCGCGTGAAAAAAATAAGATGATTAGATTGTTCCAATATTTCGTAACTGCCAAGGATACTTCCTCCCACAACTTCTTCTTCAGATTAAATATCAAAATAGACTGTCAATGCATTTAAATTTAAACATAAAGGTTCTTCTCAACTTCATCAATTATTGTTCAACGTCCTCAACAAGCACACTCATACTTGAAAATTTACTTTTCCAAACGAACTTTACACAACAATTTAATCCAAAGAGCAAACATGTTTTGTTGTCAACTCAAGTTCACATGTGTAGCCGACTGAGACTGAGCAACAATATAGTCGTATATGTGCGCATCTAGATTATTTCAATGGATACCAATCCCGGAGCGATAATTGAGTCGCAGAGCTGCCTCTGACAAATTGTGCGAGTTGGCGCTGTCTTTACAGCTGATAAAAATTAAATAAATAATACTGAAAATAAGGTTGACTTATTTTGGCTCACTTTCGTGTGTTTGACATTTCAGACTGGTTTGAGGTTATGTTCAGTTATTTATAACAGTTTATTTAATTTATTTGTTAATATTTCAAATTAAAACCATAAGTGAAAGAAGTGGTATTGCCGATGTATTTTTCTAGTCATTTGGTCATTTTTAAGCAGTCAAATTTTAAGTAATTGTGATTTGTAACTATTATTAATTATTATTATTTAATTAAAACCCTTTAAATGTTATGTTTTATTACTAATTATACTCAAGATAACTCAAGATACTGTTATGGAAAAACAACCTCTGAGGTGTA